TCAAATATGAATATTGTGATATCAATTTCATATATTATAATTTACTTTATTTTTCTTATTTTTTCTTTTATAAAAACTCATGAAACTATATCTATAATCAATTCCTATTATCTTCAATATGCGAATCTAATGTAATATAGTACTTTTGAAATATGCATTGTTATGGCATTTTAAAAATGAGCATAACATGAGTATCATTTGAGCATATGTAACTTGCAAAGTGAGCATAAATATGAAAATCATAAGATTTGTTAGTTGGACGTCACGACATTTTAATTGAGCATCAAACCTCCTATGTTGAGATGAAAATAAACAACGCTTTCTATTAAATGAGCATTAATGAACGTAACTTTTAATTAGCACTAGACCTATTATATTGAGTATTAGGAGTCTAATATTGAGAATCGTAATCTCTGCTTCATATCTTTTAATCCAGTCTCTTTTTCTATTTTTGTTTTATAAAAAACTTATTAAATTATATCTATAATAAACTCTTATGAATTTCACTATGCAAATCTAATGTAATATGATACTTTTGAAATATGCATTGATATGACATTTATAAAATGAGCATAACATCAATACCAAATGTGTATACGTAACTTACAAAAAGAGCATTACACCAATATCAAATGAGCACACATACTTACAAAATGAACATCGAAAAAATTTAAAAAGCTCATTTAAAATTTCTAGTATGCTCTAATAATAAATGAGAATACATAACTTATGAAATGACCATTGAAAATTTTAAAATGAGCATTACACCAATATGCACAAATATGACATTTTAAATTGTTTAGTGTAATGCTTATTTTAAAATGAGCATTACACAAATACCAAATGAGCATAGATAACTTACAAAATGAGTATCAAAAAATTTAAAAAATTCTTTTGAAATTTCGAATGTGCTTATATATGAATTTGTGTATGCTCATATCGGTAGAACATAAAGAACACATTCCTTATTTTAGAACAATCAATTTTATTGTGCTTATTTTTTAAAATTATATCAATGCACATTTAATTTAAGTAATATACTCATAATTATTTAGAAGGTTGGAGCTTTCAATAAAAAGGTGAGAGAATTACATATTTTAATTGAATTGTCATTCCATATGAATTTTTGAAAGAATTGCATGCATGAAAAAATTCTTGAAGAAAATATATAAAAAGAAAAATAGAAAATATCAGAAGTTAAAGAAAAATGAAAAAAAAATGGAAGCAGAAAAAACAAAAAGAAATGTTAAAATTAGAAAAATTAAAGTTCATAAGTAAAATAAAAGAAGAAGAAAAATTGGAAGATGAAAAAAGAAAAGAAAGAACGGCAGATGTTACAATGATTGGGTGGAGAGGGAAAGTGTAAACTGTAAACGGCAAATAAATGGAAAACAAAAACGGAAGAAGAAATCTCGAGCAAAGGAAGAGAACACGGAAGAAAAATAAAAGAATCAAACACCCAGCTCCATAACATACAACCTCCGCTTTGCACATATTTACAAAAATACCTGGCTGTACCAAGTCACACGGTACAGCCGCGTGTATAGTATATTTTACCCAAATAATTTGTATAAAATTTCCGAAATTTCTACTAAATTTTAAGTAAATTATTTATGTCACAGACAAAACAAAATAGTGACATCTTTAGAAAAAAAACGTACCTGGAGTATATATTTTCCAATTCTTTTTTGTCTGATGAATATTGCTTTACTGCCACTGGACTTCATTCCCCCTGACTTTCTATTACAAAATTAGTTGACTATGGATGTTTTCTTTTGGACTGAATTTTGCTTGTCTGGTCAGATCTGATCTGATATGTTCTGAACTAGTCTGATCTGATTTGGAAATGTCTGGCCTTTGTATATTTTATAACTATGGAAGTCTGGTCTGATCTGATCTAGTATGGGACTGAAAACGGTTCAAAAGAAAACATCATATGACACACTTAAGTAATTAAAATCACTAACACACTTAAGTAATTAAAATTTTGACTACTTTTATACTCCCTCCGCCCCTAATAACTTTGTCAAGTTTGACCGTCACGTGTATTAATAAAGTAAAAACTGCGTGGTTGAAGTTTATGCAAAGGAGAGAGAATTAACGGGAACCACAAATCTTTAATGACACCCAAAAAAGGAAAGTAGACAAAGTTATAAGGGATGGAGGGAGTATATGAATATAATGGACCAAAAATTGAAAAATATTTAGTCACTATTAGCCATGTATGTTCTTAACGGTTTCTTTATATCATTCAATATTTATTGTGACTGTCAGTTTATGTTAATGTCATTGTCGTTGTCGCTGTGAAACGTATCAGTGTGTCCGGAAAAAAATCTCAATTGGGTAGGGATTCAAGAAGAAATTTGAGTTACTATTTAAATAAAGGTTAGATACAACTCTGAATACACAGTACTAACTTATACTCCGTACCATTTTAAGTTATTAAATACTTCTACACGGGTCAGAGTTGTTTTGCTGATACTTTTCGTGACATTTCATTCAGGATTCTCACTAAGCATAAGAACTTAGCTAAACTTCGTACATTTCATTGCATTTATATCATTTTCTTTTTTGACAGTCAAAGACACGCTTAACGAATAATACCGGGAGCTGAAAGAAGACTATATACCCAACGATTAACACTAGATGAGACGAGACGAAACACTAGTTGAGCGATCACTTGAGCAAGCCCCGGAAGCCACAAGATCATCGTTTGAGAAAAGCCTCATATATTCAACTTTTTGATGACTTGAACTCAAGATCTCACAAGATCTCAAGTGTGCGATGTGATCCACTTAAATCTGTCCCGCTTGTATGTATCTATTCTAAAATTGAAATTGTTATATTATGTCCCTCTCCTAGTTTGCATCTTTATCTTTCAACATAAGTGAACTTTTTTACCAACGTTTCAGATTTAACCTCATAATTGTTTCGTCATAAGAAAAGAATTACTTCCTCTGTCCCCTTTTAAATGTCCCGTTTTACCATATTGGGATGTCCCTATTTAATTGCCCCATACCTTATTTGGTAAACTTTGTGTGTCTCAAAATCATTCTTACTTTATTCTTACTTTATCAATTAATATCAACCACAAAAACTCACTTTTCTTAAAACTCGTGCCACCATCTCCCGTCCCATTTAAAAGGGGATGGAGGGAGTAGATGTTTACTAAATGGCAATGAGAGTTTTGAGATTAAAACACACGACGGAGAATAGATCATGTTGATGACATTTTTTTTTTGAAAGGCTGTTGAATGTTGATGGGCATTTAGTTAAATGAGCTGGGAATAACTCATTAAAGAGGTTTTGGTTATTTTGTCGTACTTCACAGTTCACATCCCTACTTTTGTTTTTTTGAAAATCAAATAACTAATTTATTATTAAGCGATAACAAAAATACAAGAGAATGAATAGTCTGAGACTACAATGGGATGAAACATAGAACAGAACAGATTCAATGAATCCTTCCCGATCGCTAACCCCGCAATAATGTAGTCTAGTCTAACAACCTTGCTGATCTTCTTGCTACTTCAAAGAGAAATTAAAAAAATTAAAACTAAAAGATCTGGCTTCACCAGCCACCAGAAAGAGAGAATTGGTTTGACCAGCAACCAACAAAGGGAAATCAGTCGAATAGAAATTTCTTGAAGCATCGGTTTGACCAACCACCGAAAAGGAGATCCGCTTGATCATCTTCTTCTCCCCACAGACTAGGGGTGGGAAAAACCGAACCGAAACCCGGAAACCGACCCTGGACCGACCCGAATTATGATTCCGGTCCGGGTTTTTTCTTTTTAACCGGCCCGAATTAAAAAAAACCCGGACCGAACCGAAAATTCTGGGCTCATTAACGGGCCTTAAAATCTATAACCCGGCCCGGACCGAAAAAACCCGAAACAATTAGTTTTAATATAAAATTAATATAGTATATGAATATAAATAAAATATTTCCTAATATATGATTATAATCACGGTGGATAAAAAAAGATTTAGTAACTTTTAGTGACTACAAATATGTTTAATTTGTTTAGCGTAATGATGACCATGAGAATATATTTATGGCAACTCTAGTAACTTTTTTATTTATAAAATTTATTTCGTAATATTTTTAAGAAACCTATATTATTTATATATATATATATACATCTTACATAAAATATTAAGATAATTATCTTCTTTAAATTTGAATTGTTGGTGATTTTGGAGACTAATATTTGTGTTATTAATTTGCAGTTTGTATTTTTGATTAATTTTATTTGAAAATAAGTGTTAAAATATAAAAGAACAATGACATATTTCACGGCCGGGCTTTAACCGGTCCAACCCGAACCCGGACCGAACCCGGGCTACCAAAAACCTGACTCGGACCGAATATAACGGGCTTTGTTCCGGTCCCTAATTTTCATAACCCGAGACTTTCCGGGTAATTTCCGGGTTTAGCAAAAACCCGACCCAGACCGGACTGATCTCACCCCTACCACAGACCACAGTGAGGCGGTGGTTCAGGTGGTGGGCGAGTATTTGAAACGTCAGAACAACAAGATTGAAAAGCTTCACCAGATCGATTACACCGATTTGAAACGCACAACCTCTAGACATTGATAGGAGATTAACATATCACACGCTCACATGAAGCGGACAAAATTCTCGGCCAATGAAGAAGCCGGACCAAATTCCTTGAAAATAGAAATTGAAAAAGAGCGAAAACATAGAAAAACCTTTGATTCGATCTTTCATTTCTCTATTAATAATAACAGGTATCCCAATAGTGTATAGTTTTGTGTATGAATGAAACCGTATTCCGTTGAACTGAACTTTACTAGTCTTATGTATTTAACTATGTTTTAATTTAACTGTAATGCCAGTATCTTTTACAAATCTGGCCTAAATTCTTTATGAGCATCTGTTTATGTTTGAGCCTAATCTAACATAAAAACTACTCCACGATAATGCTCATTAGAATTTCATAAACCAATAATCAAATTTATTCCACATTTACCTTTTTTACCAAAGTTAATAAAACATTTCGTGTTTTATACTTGTTTCATTGTTTGAAAATGTGACACTTAACCAGAAGAGGGTGGTGCACTGGTGAAGTTTCCTTGCACGAACATCAGTTGAATGTGTTTGGAGTTTTGAATAATTCTATTTACAAATGGTCGAGTGAAGACCCGACATACTTTTTTTACAATTAGGATGCTTGAATATGTTTACTGTACTATAACCAAAGCATACATGGGAAAAAAACTACCAAACAGGGCACTCCACTCATCTTTAAGACCGGAAAGGATACTACAAGATGGATGGCCAACAGCCCAAGACTTGCAAAAGCAGGAGAGCATATATGTGTGTCGGTCAGAAGTCTTGGGACTGGAACTTGATCACGAGCAGTCCGCCCCCAAAAATCAAAAGAACGAACATATATGCATGGTTAGGTTATTGGTTTGTCACCCTCTTGGTTTTGAAATTGTTCAAGAATCATGTTACAGTTGTTCATGGCACGAGCATCAAGAAGACCATGATTCCATAGTTTTATCATGAATAATCTCCAGCACCTGAAATAGATAATACACATACATCTCATGATCTCATCATATTCAGTACTTATAGAAGTCATCACCAAGGCAAGTTTTCACAAGGAGAAAAATAACACATAAAAGGGGAAATTTAGGGCTGGGTACCACAGCAGTGCAGGAGTCCGAAAAAAATCTTGACCATGTAGCTTTGAGAAGGCCTCACATGCCCATGGAATATGCCCATCTGCAAGCACCCTGCACAGGTATATCAAATAATAATAATAGTAATAATAATCATAATCATAATAATAACCATGGTCTTTTTGTTAGGTTTTTATATCATGTATAGACCATTTGAGTCCAAATTTCAAAATAGTTCGGTGCTATAACCCTCAAGAAAAGTAGAAAACTAATCAGCTACAAATTATCTACCATTCTAACCTGTGTAATCATATTGTTCCTCTATCCTTCTGCCCCCACCACCCCCCAAATGGCCAAAAGGACCCTTCTAGGCTTTCTAGCATATATACATGGCTGGATGGCCCCACCCCCACCCCAATGAACACTGACACATCTAACCTATGTCTAGGCTTTCCTAGGCTGCCTACAATTTCCCCCGAATTGATCCCACGCAATGACAACTATATGCTTGGCTCCACATAAGCACTGAGCCCCATTATACTCAGAGGAACATGATGGAAATTTCTCGTTCAGAAAGTAGTAGATGGAATGACAGCACAAGTTCTTCCATGCATTGAACACAATGTAAGACAGTATAGTACTGACATTAATACATAATAAATGTGGGACGTGACAAAGTAGAAAAATGCCTTCTTATGACAAGCTCAAGGCAGCAGGAAGTTCTGACCTTTGCTTTCTCACAAATGAATTCCAGAGATGCATCATTTGCTTCTCGTCTTTGGTAACATCAACGAAGTCATCAAGCATCTGCATTATCATCGATACATCAAATGGTAATGCTAAGAATTTAAACACACTTTTAGGGTCCTTTAGGAACTTCAAATTGGTAAGGAAAGCGAATAAAAAGGAGTGAATTGGAGAACTTTTGAAGGAAAGAAACTGTGGGAGTGTGGAGGGGATAGAAGTGGTTCAAACTCATTAAATTAATTTTTTATATTTGCTCAAACTCACTTTATTTGTTAATACCTTTATTTCTATTATATATAGACTGGCTCTCAAAAAAAAAAATTATATATAGACTGAGAAGCCTAAACATATGCAAACAAATATAAAAAACATTACTCAAATTTCGTTTTCTTTTGATTCCAGGAGTAACCCTAACCAGTAACGCCAACAAAATAACTTTCCTAGGCATTTTTATCCCTTTTCCTGGCATTTCCAGGTTCCAAACTGCCCTCAAAAAATCATATGCAAAAGGAAGATAAGTCAGGAATCTCGCAACTAGTGGGGGTCAGAGATGCAAGGCCTGAACAAAACATTTCAGCTCAGGACAATTAAGGAATCGTTAAGTGTAATGCGCTTACTTTAAGATAATGTCAGCCAAGGATCTCCACAATATTTGCAAGACAAACATACTACTCCGTATTAATTTCCACAATCAATCACGAAATTAGAAATCTAGAATAGTAAGATAGCTCCTATTTGACCAGATCAATTCTCATGAGTAGTACTGATAGTACTAGTCACGACTTTGACAGCTATGACACAAAGTATGGCATACCCGCCGGTCTTCAAGATCTGCAACATCATCATCAACTTCATCCTCACTATCCTGATCTGATAAAACTTGTTCCATTTCCATAGGCTTCCCGCATTGGAAAAAAAGAGACAGAAATATTTTAGTACATCAAGTTGGATTTGATCCCAAACAAGTAAATCATCACTGCTGATAAGCATGAATATGTAAAGCATATACTTTAAGTTTCTTAATAGTAGATCAAACTCATTGTGATTGTCCTTGAAAAGGACAAAGGGATTACAATAAAAAAGTTAAAAATCACCGCAATATGTACAATTCAATTGTCACCTGGGCTCGGTGTGAGTGAAAGAATTGTCTCTTTTGTAGAAGTGTGCGACTGTGGGAAAGACAAACCAAAGAACCAAGAAATCAGGCATCATGCAACAATGAAGCGTAATTAAAGATCATGGCAAAGAAGGATATAAGCCATGCAGTTAGTTGCAGATCTAGTAGATCAAAACACCACTCAAAATTACTGTGTAAAACTCACTAGCACATAGAAGCAAAGCAAGTAATAAACATTTTAATGCTTAACAACATCCGAGAGTATATTAGTGCAAAAACAAGCTCCTCAAATCTTCAGCATCAAGAAAAAACATGATACATAATTGTGGCCAGTTTTGTTAAAAAAAATGACCAATTCAAAGTATGGAAGTAGCATTATGACAAACTACCTCTGTCCCAAATTTTTCTTCCCACTTTGAATTGGCACACATATTAATAAAGTGGAAAACTGGAAATGTATTGCTATAGTTGATGTAGAAAAAAGAGAAAGAGTGTTAACTACACACAGCATTCCTTAAAAGGAAATGGGAAGAAAACGTTTAGATAACTCAAAAGGGAAGGTGGGAAGAAAATTGTGTGACGGAGGGAGTGTATATCAATATATCATTGAACCAGCACACATACTTTCTTGGATCAGAACGCTCCACTGATAACTTCCTGGTCTTTGCGAACTGAAGCATTGCAGGTGGTGCTAAACTGCTTATAGGCAAGGATTGTGAACAGTCTGGATCTGGATTTTGATGTTCTGTAGCTAATGATACACCAGTAGCATTGGGACTTGATGCATCACAAATGACGGTATCTGGTAAAACTTTCTAAAATTATTATCAACTTAAAAGGAAAAGCGCATGGTGCACCTTTCACAAAAATTGTATGTAATGCTTGCTAAAGTACTTCTCCATCCCGAGAAACGAAGCAAATTGGTTCTAAGACATAAAACTCCAACTACAACTCTCTACAAGGGGGATGGGGGAATTGAGGAGTAATAATAGATCTTATAAATTGATGCAAGTCATCCATAAGAAGATAGACTAAACATAATGACTCAAAAGAATGGAATAATTCAAGTACGGGGACAACTAAAAGACGAGGATCATCAAACAGTGCAAGAGCAACGAAGTTTAGTTCCAGTCCGTATGGAATGGGGGGGGGGAAGCTAGGGATAGAAAATAGGGAGGAAATACAGAACTTGTTTTTATTGATTTATACACATTAATTTTAAATATTATCATCCGTTCTTAAATAGTTGCAACAGTTTGACTTTCATGTTTGCCAACGTACAACTTTGACTGTAATTATAATTAATTACGTATTAGTAAACATTATAAAAAGTTAATATTTTGGAAATTCACATTAATAGAAATTTAATACGGAGTAACATTTTATACATAATAATTTGGTTATATATACAAGTCGAAAATCATGGTCAAAGTAAGGTGTGCGAATAGTGCAAAAATCACAACGTTGCAACTATTAAAGAACGGAGGAAGTATTAGGGATTTTTCCTTGACCAATAACTATATGGAAGACCTTTCCAAAACAGTTACTACCTCCATCCCAAATTAATGCTGACACTTTTTTTGGGCTCTAGATTAAGAAAATGGTATAAATACCTACACTAACCTTTATCATTACCCTGTAGCAGTGAAAAAGTAAGTAAAGTTGGAATAAAAAAGTTATAAATGTAAGTAAAAGGATAAAGTATGAATGGTATGTCGGATCATTTGCCAAATAAAGAAATGTAACCTTTATTTTGGGACAGCCGAAAAATGAAATATGTAACTATTATTTTAGGAAAAAGGGAGTACAACTTCTACATATGAACAAAAATGTGGCTAACATGGTAATAAAATTAAAAAAACTACGAATGTCACTGCCAATTTATTATATCACTTTAGCCACCGTCACCAATGTCACTGACGCCGTAGAGCATGTCAACTGATTTTCTGGCAAACTTTTAAAAAATGATACTCCGTAAAAAACAGAAAAAAAAACAGAGCATTTTCTGATGACTTTTATGACAGTCGGTGGTGGCACTCGTTCGTAGCGGTTGCCAGAGGTGGCAACAAAGCAGGGGTGGGGTGGGGGGCAGTTGGTAGGGATTAGGAGAGGAAATTTAAATTAACTAAATAAAGGTTAGTCAGAATTTTGAGAGAAAAAAAGAAACTAGTCACATTTTTGTCTTCCAAAAGTGTAGAGGTAATATTTATGTCGTTCTTTCCAAATTAAATACTCCGTATTAAGCAATCTAAACATATACAAAATTTAAAAAAAAATTAAACATATTTCATTTTCCTTTGCATTATCAGAGGCAAATCCAAACATAAGAAAACAACTTTCCTTAGCAATTTCTTTCCTTTCCCTGGCATTTTCTAGATTCCAAATGTAGCCATGTGGAGTCCTTTACATACCTAAATTGTTCATTCCATCCTTCGTGGTCTGATGACCATTGATTGCTGGGGGAGATTCTGAATCAAAGGCCAGTGGATGTACATGCTTTCCATTCTGAACATTTTGTGATTTTCTGCGTCTTAAGGGCTTTGAACTGCACATGAAGTGTGTGTAGAAATTCACAAACTTTGAGCATTGAACAACCTCAAATACTAATCAATACTCCCTCCGTCCCATTTAAAGGTTCCCACTTTCCTTTTTTGGGCGTCTCACTTAAAGGTTCTCACTTTCTATTTTAGGAAACAATTAACACTCTTAAATAACAATTTAATCATCAAATATTAAAAATAATACATTTATAACATTACAGTTATCATCAATAACTCATTATATAATATAATCATCAAAATTATTTCTCAAAATATATTCGAATTAGCGTATTTAATTATTGTCTAAATAATCATGCCAATTTGCCATGGGAACCTTTAATCGGGACGGAGGTAGTACAAGTTAACGCATGAAATGGTTACATACCAATAGAAAAATGTTTGCTGCTTAGGATCGACACCATTAGCAATGATCTGAGACACATTAGTGAAACAAGGGCAGTCATTCACAAAGACCATAAAGGCACCACTAAAACTTCACATCTACCAAATACCAATATATGAATTAAATAGCAATCAAGTACAAGAACATATTAAAAGAATCTCACCATATCCCGTTTTATAAAATTAGGCAGATATGTTTTTTTAATAAAAAAGAAAAAACAGATCGAGTTGACAAATGAAGCATAGACAAGTTGAGAACACCCATATTTACATACTGACATTCTACGGTTAATTCTGGCAGAGAGCCAGTTTGCTCACCTCAGATCTCCATACATCAGTTTTAACAGACACATTTACAGCTTGATATTCTTCAGTAACCTACAAATTACAATGAAATTAAATTTACAGAGCTAAAGGGAGAGAGAATAAAAACAAAATGTGATGGACCACTGAATTTTACCCACCCAAAATTCAAAATTGAATAGATCATGACAAGATGATAAGTGATATCTCAGGCCCTAAAAAAATAAAAGGGAAGTCCCTGTAAGAACAAACAGTAAAAATAGAACGAATTCATTAAAGAATACGTGACTAGTAACAACTAATGACACCTTTCACCTTATAGCTTGCACATTTTACCAAGCAGAAAGGACATGTGAAGTCTTCTGTCACTGTCATGTTCCATAGAAATGAAGTCAATGTTTTGAATGACATATTTTTTGTATTTTTTTGTTAAAAGGAATGTTTTGTTGAATGGAACTACATGTGTATTAAACAAAAACTCATGTGCATCTAGAGTTCTAAACAACCATGAAAATCAATTCTATAGCAAAAGGGGCTGTGGGAGACTAGACCCATGTACCTAACAAAATAGTCTATTACCATAAGATTACCAGAGAATATGATATAGTAAACCCGAGCTCAAGACATGAAAGTTTTACTCTCAAGAGATTATCATTTACCTTCCGTTCGCATGCACTTATTGTTATAGTACCTATAGTTGAAAACAACATTTCCAGTCCTAAGCCTGGGGATTACAACAAAAAGCTAAATGATTAATGATTTATGTATTCATCATAAGAAATATAAGCTTAGAAAGTTTCAATGAGTGAAGAGAAGTGTCATAAAGAACAATTTTCCATGGCAATCCAAAAGTGGAGACAGAGTACACAGAGAAATGTAGATAAAAATAGCGTAGGAAACATACACTCCGTGTATAGGTTAAAGCAGTAGAGCTGTACATATACATGTTTAAATAAGAAAAAAAAACTTTACAGCTTGTGAGAAGTTGAACAACTTGAACTGTAATGTAGTCAATGGGTAAACAATTCCTGACATTTAAATCGGTGACCTCATCATATGCATAGTAAAAGAGCTAGTTGCTACAATTTAGAACAGTGATTTCATGAGACTTACAGTAAAAGGTTAGTGTAAATTTGTAATATGTATCACACAATAAAACAATATGAGTGTATGCTATGAAAAAGAGATTTCACCTCATAACATGATGCAAGGATGAGTTAGGAACTTCACTGTAGGAGTATGAATCATATGGTGTTCTCTCCTGTGCGCCAACTTCTTCTGCAGCAACACTAACTTTAATCTCATGTGTTGTATCCTTTGGAACAAAACAAGAAAAGAAATCCAAAAGAGAATAATTATATATAGATGAGTTATATATGCAAGGAAAAAGCGAGATGTCAACAGAAGACAGAACTGTCAGAATATATAATAAAATTGAAAGTACCGCAGCTCCAAGTGATTTAGGAAACTGAAAAGAGACACACCCATGTTTGTCCAAATAGCTTAACTGCAAGAAAAGAATCATGACAAATTAAAGAACTTGTACTTTGCTAAATTCCCTCTATAGCATGAGGACAGCAAGAAAAGATGGATACTTAGCAGGAAAGCTAATAAAGCAAACAGAAATTGCAGAGAGCCCTTCTACACCATTCCATAGGATAACTATATCCTCCCAACATATCATGAGTTCATGACTAACAGAGCAATGATCAGATCAGATTTCAGGACTAAGAGTAACTTACAATTTCCACAAATGAGTTTTTGAAACAGCTTATAAATTTAAGCATGACCTTAATCTGAACTACTTGGAGTTGTTGGCATTAAATTTATAGTGCTAAGTGCTAACTACTAATTGTATACAGTTACATAACACTACATATTCACGCAAAAAGCATAGTGGCAACATTTCACACCTAATGCCCTTCACGTTGTAACCTTCCCTAAGAAGGAATAATGAGACCAAAATCCTAAAACCGAATCATCGTTGAATATTTCCAGTTTCATGATGTGCAGGATAACAAGAATACTTGTGAACTAATGGAGTGAATTTAAAAGAGTAATTACATATTTAAATCCAGTAAGAATTACCTTCATGAAACAGGGGCACAAGTCAACAGTTGAAAACATCTCCGCTCTTTCTCCAAGACCCAAGTTTGAAGACTTTTCCAAAGATAGATAAGGCAGTTCCATAGACATCCTACTCAATAAGCAGTGCCCTTCAACATTGGCTATCAGAATATAAGGAACTGAATTAGGGATATTAAATTGAAGAAAGCATCAGAAGATCATTCAAACAAAAAATTAAGGCAGTATGTGGTTATGGCTTGTGGTAATGAATTCTGAATAACTAGCTCCCTTCAACATTTGCTTTCAGCTTGAAGAATTAAATTAGGGAAATGAATTGCATGAAAACTTGGAGAGATACTTGGACAAAAGATGAGGCAAAATTGACGAAAAGGAAAAATGAAGCCCTTCAACATTTGCTAACACATGAGGAATTAAAGGAATAATTTTAGAGATTATTAGGCAAAAACTAATGCAAAGTTCAAGAGAGGGCCGGCATTTATCACGTCCAAGGCTCAACAACTTAATTGATTAACCTTGGAAAGTTGCAATCAGTCCACTCCTTTCTACAGGTATGTCTGATGCTTTTTTTTTCTGAAGCTAAATATAATATAAGCCTTAATCATCAGCACCAATCTCATCATTTGAATCTAACGTTACAACTTATGCAACAACCGAAAGATTATGTTAACATGTGGACAACTTACAAGGAAAATATGACATATCCATATGGTCCTTGGCTATCTCAGCTGCAAAAAGGGAAACAACAGAAAAAGATCTAAATCTTCCACCAAACATCATCAGTGCCAGGAAAAAGGTGTAAATATGGCATACCACAGCTAATAAAAAGAATTACAAGAGAGGCCGCCTCAATCTCTACGGATAGCTTATTCAATTCAGGGAGTACAAATTTTGCATATGCCTGATTCATCTTGTCAACTCCGGAGCAAGAGGTTAACATGCATGCGCGCTTAAAGCAATAGACGGCAGAGTACTGCAAGCAAGTTGCATAATTAAATGAAGCAATATTATTTAAATACTGATAAGATACAGTTTGTAGTTGAGCGCAAATACCTCAGAAGCTACAGGAATTGGAACTTGCCTAGCCAACAATATACACAAAGGAAACATACTTTGAATCTGTGAACCGCTATTTAAAGTTGCGGGAAGAGAAATTGTCATTTGTATCCTAGAAACGCAAGTAAAAGTTCCAGAGTAAGATATAGTAATCTATAATACAAGAATGTGGATATCACTAAAATATCAGCCAATAACATCAAATAGTGGTTTGATTGTAAATTACCATAGGATGTTCGTTTTGTAATCATGCATATTGACATTTATGAATGACATGAAATATTAAAAAGTGTGATTTGTTTTCATATACTACGTACTATACCACCGCTACAAAATGCACTTTGTAGTCCATATAATTTGTACTAATCTAACATTACATAGTAAATATGAAATAATAATAATCTATGTTTCCTTCTACTAATTTATCCTCACTGAGTTGATAACATAGCCTATGAAGCACGTACACTTCTACAAAAAGTGAAGTGAGTGAGCCGAAAACACCTAAAACTTGTCCCTTTTTATCTAATATGGGGATACAGTGGGCACAGAGGGGGTCTTTTAAAGAGTAACCCTAAAACATGGCACTAAAGTGTCAAAAACAAAATCCTAAATCTACCTCTCCTTTATTTCTCATATAGTAATCTCTTATTCCAAATATAAAAGCAGCTAAGGCATACGTATTACTATTATGGTAATTAGTATTGGCATTTTATAGACATGTATGTCTGTATGTAAGTTATTGTGTCCCCTTCATAGGTGTGTCTCATATTTTAGAAAATGTTGTTCCTGTATTTGTACCTGCACCCCGGTCTATTCTTCATAGCATACCTTCTAGCCTGATAGAATAAATATATAGATGATGCTGGCAACTTGTTTTCTATGATATACTATGTACTAGTTTTACACTTATGAAGGTTCAAACCATCTAACCTTACCGAAATGATTCTGATTCCCATAGATGGATTTATAATAAGTTCCAAAACAACGGCAATATTACCATCTAAAATGATACATAGTGTTACCTTTTTCTATGTTTTGCTTGGAGTTTGTACCGCAAACATCTTTGTAGGAAAGACGGCTGCATAAAAGCCCATCTTTAGTTAGAATGATGAATCATACTCCTATTCAATAGTAAGTAATAACAACCTTCTGAGTTCTGATAAACATAGGGTCTGTTTTATGGCCAACAGCTACAAAAAAAATCTAACTTTCCAGTTCATGGAGGTGAGCATAATGTGCCATTGAAAAAATGCCTACTTTATGAATATATACATAGCATATAAAAAGAACATACATTTTTAGCAGCTCGACGTTGAAGAATGTTGTACAGTTCAACAGGTTTACAGTATATCGTAAGACTTTCTTCAGCTGCGATTTCCTCCTCTGCAGACAAGTGCCCGTGGGAGTCGTGACGGCACATCTGATCAGCAGCTCCTGAGTGACTGCAATTGCAAACAAAACTCATCTCTCATAAATTTAGCCGAAAATCACATTCCATCCGCATAAATGCATTATGGTTCCTAATAACATAATCACGGTTAAACATAAACATGAATGCTCCAGCTTTAATAACAAAAATTAACCACTAAGAAAAAAGAAAAATCATATAATAATAATCATGATAACAGTATCCGAAGAAAAGCTTACGAAGCTCCGCGGGGCGTCAATGGTATTCCGGGCATCCTTTTTAAGGAGAAGAAATATGTATACTCATAATCTGAAGCTCTATACAGAGCTCAGAACATCAAAACCTACGGCAGATGAAATAGAAAACCTCGCGATAATATAATACTCCGCAGTAATTCGCAAACAAGCAAACGAACTTGCATTTGAGCTGAAAAATGTTTCGCGAATCTAATTGAGCTGAGATTGAAATTGCGTGTTAAAAAGACGGCATTTTGAAGACCTCGATCTAAACCAGGTTAATCTCGACCACTATTTTCAACCAAACTTTCTTTTTCTAATATATTCGTTAATACGCACTTAATTACTCTTTCATTGGTAAATGGTAATAAATCAAGTTTTCACGCTATCATGTGAAGATACAGAAGATAGTCAAGATACTTGTGTTTGTAGATCTGTTTCGTATATTATTATGTAATTCAAAGTTTTATTAACTAGTTTGTCCATACCAACATTTTCCGGACCAGTTAACTTGCAAAAATCATTTGACGACCTTCCCGATCGAATTTTGAGCTGAAATTTGGTATGGACAAACTAGACTTGATGAGGAACATGCTCAAAAAAATTCATCAAAAAATTCCACCGGGAAGGTGCCCAAATGGGCTCGGCCGGACGGGGCAGCCCGTCAGGCCGGCCTGACATGAAGTTTTCTCTCTCTCTCTCTCTCTCTCTCTCTCTATATATATATATATATATATATATATGTTTTTCCTTTAGCATCTTTTCTCTATTCTTTATATATAAGAAAACAATAAACTTATTAAAATGCATTTTTATCCTCTAAAAAGCTCACTTGTTCTTCTCTTCACAATTCACTCATTTACTCTACAAATGTCACGTGGCCAACTCATGGACTAATACGGAATGCAATTCAAGGTAACCATTTGTATTAAAAAAAAGTGTGTCATCAATTAAGAATCCTTGCTTTAGAGCAAGGTAGAGTGACTTGCTTCTTCATAATCATCTGATAGAAAATTCAAGGATGGAAGACCTTGGGGCACACACTTTCGTCGATCTTGAGACTGTCATCATCGCCCTCCTGCCGTTCGATGCTGCAAGCCACTCTATCGTACGGCAAAGGATCGTGATCCATTAATTAATGGAGCCCATTGTACAAAAAACCATTTTGTTCGAAGTGTTGTAAATTTTTCATTGTTTCTCTAATTTTTATAAAAAAAATATATCAAAATTCATATTTTTTTACGATCTTTCATATGACACCAATATTGCATATGTAAAATTTAAAAAAATATGAAGGTTTATTAAACAACCTTCCTTTTCCCAACCTTGATATGGATTATTTCGTATTACATAAATAAATAATTCCTAATATATGACCAAAATAATAATAGTGGATAAAAATATGACTTGTGAATTTTTATTGACTATAATTATGTTTAAAAATACATCAGTGGCTATAAAGTGTATTCATAATGAATTTAGTTACATTGTTGTCCACAACTATTTGTTTGAAAGGTTTTTCCTTAGAGTCACTTTGATATAAATTTAAACATTACTCAGTATTATAATTCCTAAAGGTTAATAAATCACATTTTATCCTTTATTCTTATTTTACTCGTGATTATTTCTTTATTTAATACACAATAATCCGTATCGGTGTTGGAAAATACAAAGTTGTTTAATAAATCTTTAGAAAAAATAAATTTTGTATATGCAATATTGGTGTTATATTAAAGGTCTTAAAAATTTATGAATCTTAATATGTTTCTTTGTATACCATGTAGTGGATTGTATAATAATCAAAATGAGTAAAGTTAAAGTTACTTTTCTGACTGAATTGATTGAAGTTACGTAGAAGACCATTTTTGAGCTACTTTTTCTTATATTTTTTCTTTATTTGATTACTACCTAGTAAAATATATTTTAAAATACAATTTTTCCTTAATTAAGGAGATTGATCATAAACATCGTCAATTTCGGTAGATTCAAGCAATTTAAACGTTACCAAACATACTCAAAATAACATTCCAAATGAAGAAGATATCGAATATACTATGTATGTTATTCAACAAATTCAGCCAATAACATTTTAAATAATTTAATCATTTTTTACTTTTTGAAAACAAAAAATGTAAATTTCAATAAAGGAAAATAATACAAAATCGTAAATTTGTAATACAACTGAGAAAAACAAATCCGAACAAAAGGGAAAAAAAAAGTTGTAGTGAAAATAAATTGAAAAATGACTAAAAATGTTTTATTTGACTTCGTTGGATTTTGTATAATTTTCGTAGTTTTTTATACATGTTTAAAAATATTTAGTTTGGAAATTTATAAAAATATTTCTATATCTTCCGAAAATTGAGAGTTGATAGTTGAGATTAATAATAATAAAAAGTCTAACTATCATTGGGATTATTTAAATAAAGTTACACATAATAATAAGGTTTACGTAATCTAGGGCTTAACGCCGCAAGTGGATTTTTCCGGTCTTGGCAATTAAGCCGAGGCGCGGTGGCTCTTCGGTAGTATCGAAACTTGAAGGAGTTCGAGGCTATAAAGAGGGTGGAGTGGAGCGGAGGACTTAAGAAATTAAGCTTGAGGATTGCGGGACTAAGATGCGAACGAGGAGGAGGAATTATGTGTATTGCTGTGCGATCGGATGGAGACTATAGCGGACAGGTACCAAAGGATGAAGGTGGCGGAGAAGGAGACGGAACTGGATTGGGCTGATGAAGGAGAGGAGGTCTGGGAGGAGGTTCGCCCGCGGTTCTCGGTGGTTGGGGCGCTGATTGCAGACCGGAAGATCAACTTTGCAGGCTTCAAGGTGGCGATGACATCGGTGTGGAGGCCAGGCAGAGGTATGGAGATCAAGGAAATAGAAGACAAAAGGTATATTTTTAATTTTAATCATCCCGTTGATATGAAGCGTGTGATTGAAGGTGGACCATGGCAGTTTGAGAGGAATTTATTGATTGTAAAAGAGATCAAACCAACTGATATTCCTCACAAGATTACTTTGAATGAGGCCGAATTCTGGGTTAGGGTTCATAATGTCCCATATGGCCTATTGAATTTAGGTACTGCTAGGAAGGTGGGTAACTTTTTGGGGAAATTTGTTGATTATGATAAAAACAGCTATGGGGACCAGTGGAGGCCGTATATGCGGGTTAAAGCTTGTATTAATGTGGAGTTTCCCTTCAAGAAGGGTACAACGCTGAAAAAGGAGGGTGTGGGCTATTGGGTAGACAGACTTCCAATATGAGAAGCTACCCAATTTTTGTTTTATTTGTGGGGTCATGGGGCACTCTGAAAAGTTCTGCCCACTTATGTATGAGGAGGGGCTTGTGCTGAAAAAGAGTTTTGATGCGTCCCTTAGGGTAGGTGGAGGGGTGAAGACCAGCCCAACAGGAAACAACAAATGGTTAATTGGGAAAGACTCGAGCTCGGGAAGAGAGAGCCAGGGGTGGAAGGAGCAAGGAAAAGCAGGTAAGGCGCTCAGTGTTAATGAAGATGCAACTGACTCCGGTAGTACTTCCAATAAGGAAGTGGTTCTGAAACAAAGTGAAGAAGTTTCGGGTGAGAATCGTAGACGCACTTGAGAAATAGAGACAACTCAAACCCAGAATACAGAGGAGATGGCTTTGGATAACGCAAAAAATGGGAAGGAGACGGACTTAGAGGGGTAAGCTCGTCAGGGGAGGTGGTGAGACAGAAGTAGGCAAGGTGGTGTTGGGGTGTGTCTGTTTGTGTCTTTGGTTTTTATTTCTTTGTTTGGTGTGTTTTTTCTGATTTAGACAGGTCTTGTGTTTTCTTTTGGTGTGTTTTTTATGTTTCTGGTTGTAAAACAATATGTTTGGATTGGGTGGTAGGGGATGATTTAACTATGATTACCGTCACTGGCTCAGTTGTGCCCAATTTTGGATCAGCGAGTTACATTATTGAGGTGATTGACTCCGACTCTGGTTCGTGGGACGGCGGTTTTCTTAAGTTATTTTGTCTGTTTTCCTGCTTTCCAGATGGTTTGAGATATATGTAAGCCGATTTTCATCAAAAAAAAAAAAGTTACACATAGTTCACATTTAATATTGATCTGTCATACCAGGTTGTAACCGGTTAGGACTGTCTTTTGGAAAATGATCTTTATACTTTATAGTTGGGACCACCTAGGAAAAATCGATAGTTGAGATTATTAACGCCGAACCGGCACTAGTTTGAATTATTATTTTCAATTTTTCTAAAATTATATTAAAAGTTTTACAAAGCCATAAAAACTCAAATTTGACAAAAATTAGATATATAATGTAAAAGATTAAGGGTGTGTTTGTCACAACTAACTGAAAAGATACTTTTATGAGCTTTTTAATAATTATTAGTTTTTAGTGACTGAAAAGATCTTAAAAAAGATTATAGTTATTTGATAAAAAAAAAATCCTCTTTGATTTAGTTTTGTTTGGTATTGAAGTTGTTAGGACTAATTAATGTTAAAAGCTACAAACTTTTCTCGGATGCTACTCTGTGTAGCATCTAAAAAAGATCTTTTATTTTTAAAAACTCTTAAAAATTGGCATGCCAAACATACAATTAGAAGCTTTTAAAGACTTTTAAATAGTACAAAAACTATAAGGTAGAGACTTATGCCCCCCAAACATGCACTGAGAACAATTTTCGTTGACCGGAGAATAGTGATCAGGAACCTTTATATAGTATGTCCTATGAATGATGAGAAATAATTTTTAATATGAATCATAAGAAACCGGTTACCCTGTGTGCTGGATATTGTTTAATGTTAGGAATGTTTAATCTGAATGATAAATACTTTATAATTACTAATTTATCATTATCAATGTATTATCAACGCAATTAAAATTTTAGAACTTAAAGGCAATATCTGAAAATATCAAATTTAAATTATCGAATTCAAAAGCAATTTAATTATAAATCAATTTCAACTACAATACTCTACTTTATTAGTATTAAAAGTAAATACTATCAGGGACTACTCATTTGGGGCAGAGGGAAGTTGTTTTTTTTTTTTGGAAAGAAATGAAGGAAAGCAAAAGAAAGAAATAAAGATTTTTCATTGTTAAAGTTAGGGTAAATGTTTCTATGAACAACCAGCTTACATTTCATTTTTTATGTGATTATATCTTCTTCTTGGTTTCTCGTATACTCATCAATGTATACTATTTCATCTTTCACAAGTTTATCTTTCTTTTTTGGGAAAATAATTTTAAATAATACAAACTATCTCTTTCATCAACCAAAAATAATACGTGCTTTAGAAATTATTTTAAATAATATCAACTAT